TGTCAATGCCGATGGTGTTCAAGTGGTGCTCCAGTTGTTTTGGGATTGCACCCAAGGCGCCTATTACTATTGGTACTACCCTTACTTGCCTTTGCCACAGTCTTTCTATTTCTATTTGTAGGTCTTTGTATTTTGTTATCCTCTCCAGTTCTTTCTCATCCATTCTGCTGTCTCCAGGCACTGCCACCTCCACTATCCAGACTTTTTTTGTCTTTCTTATCGACAATTGTTAAGTCCGGGGTGTTATGTTGCAGGTGCTTGTCTGTTTGAATTCTGAAGTCCCAGAGCAGTTTAAGTGTATCATTTTCTATGACTTTCTCTATTTTATGATCCCGCCAGTTCTTGCTTACAGGCAAATGATATTTCTTGCAGATCTTCCAAAGCACCATTGTTGCTACTTTGTCATGCCGCTGCTTGTAGTCAGTCTGGGCGATCTTCTTGCAGTAGCTTACCAGGTGGTCCACTGTTTCTTCAGCATCTTTGCATAGGCGGCACTTACTGTCTGTTGCTGTCTTCTCAATTTTGACTTTATATGCATTTGTCCTTAAGGCTCAGTCTTGTGCAGCCAGAATTAGTCCTTTGGTCTCTTTCTTCAACTTTCCTGCTCTTAGCCATTGCCAGGTCTTGTTATTATCTGCTTTCCCAGCTATTTTTTTTTTAAATGAACTGGCCAGGTAGTGCTTTGTTTTCCCATGCCTCTATTCTGTTCTTCATTTGGTCTTTTTTGTAGGCCAGTTTGGTCTCTCCAGTAGTTAGTAAGCCTTCCTGATATACTAATTTCAGTTATTATTATTATTATTATTATGGATCATCGCACAGTCAGCCAGATGTTCAGACTGGATTTGGCACTTTGTCTACCTATCGAGTCCTTACCCAGGACCTGAGATAGGCAGATGTGGATGTTTGATGGTATTACAGATATCGTCGCAGGATGGAAGCAGTTCCTAGTAAGGCCGCCTTTTGCAATTGACTAATAGCGAATTTGTCCATGCCAATGGTGTTCAAGTGGTGCTCCAGTTGTTTTGGGATTGCACCCAAGGCGCCTATGACTATTGGTACTACCTTGCTTGCTTTTGCCACAGTCTTTCTATTTCTATTTGTAGGTCTTTGTATTTTATTATTATTATTATTATTATTATTATTATTATTATTATTATTATTATTATTATTTTGGATCATCTCACAGTCAGCCAGATGTTCAGACTGGATTTGCATTTTGTCTACCTATCGAGTCCTTACCCAGGACCTGGGATAGGCAGATGTGGATGTTTGATGGTATTACAGGTATTGTCGCAGGATGGAAGCAGTTCCTAGTAAGGCCGCCTTTTGCAATTGACTAATAGAGAATTTGTCAATGCCAATGATGGTGTTCAGTTGTTTTGGGATTGCACCCAAGGCACCTATTACTATTGGTACTACCCTTGCTTGCTTTTGCCACAGTCTTTCTATTTCTATTATTATTATTATTATTATTATTATTATTGTTGTTGTTGTTGTTTTGTTGTTGTTTTGTTGTTGTTGTGGTTATGGATCATCGCACAGTCAGCCAGATGTTCAGACTGGATTTGACATTTTGTCTACCTATTGAGTCCTTACCCAGGACCTGGGATAGGCAGATGTGGATGTTTGATGGTATTACAGGTATTGTCGCAGGATGGAAGCAGTTCCTAGTAAGGCCGCCTTTTGCAATTGACTAATAGAGAATTTGTCAATGCCAATGATGGTGTTCAGTTGTTTTGGGATTGCACCCAAGGCACCTATTACTATTGGTACTACCTTTGCTTGCTTTTGCCACAGTCTTTCTATTTATTATTACCGGTCCCTGGTGCCCAAAAGGTGTAGGGTCTCCTGCTTCAGCAAGGGGTTGGTCTAGAAGACCCCTAAGGTTCCTCCCAACCCTGTTATTCTATGTTCTATGAGATGAACCAGGCATGCATTTTTGTCCCAGGCTGCTTGGCTTGTTTCAGAATCCCTGGAATTTCCGCCTTGTTTTCCTCTTTAAATCAGTGGCGCTTAAAACTGTTTAACCCAACTCCTCCTTTGCCCAGTCTTGAATCATGTTCCATATTAGGCAAAAATCAAGAACAGGGGAAGCGGACATGGGCTCAAACTGGCAGAAAGGAAGGTCAAAAGTCACGTTAGAAAGCATGACTTCACAGAAAGAGGAGTGGAAGCTTGTGTCAGAAGTAAGTCTTCATCCTGGTTCATCCAAGCCGGGAATAAATAAGCAACATGGCGACTGCTTTGGGAAGAAGGTTGCAGTTTGTTGGAGAAGCAGAAAGATGGTCCTTGCAGGAAAGGGCAGAGGAAAGGAAAAAGAGAATTTGAGCACATGGGCAGTAGGTTTTTATACCCCCTCTAGCCTTGTTTGGAATAGTTTCCTGTTCCTGTGGCATGAACCTTGAGGCCATTTCTGAGTGTTTTTCTAGGCCTTGATATCTGTGGTTTAATCCAGCTTCCCAGGTGATGGGGCTAATGACTCCTAGAGTTTGGGTGGGGCATGCAGATCTTCTCTTTTGTCTTCTTGAGTGCTCTGGCTTCAACTTTCTGATGGTTTTACATCTGCACTTGTATGGGGCTAGCTCTTGCTTGGGGCAGAGAGATAGATTTGGGGCCAGGTTTGGTTTAAAAAAAATCATTTTGAGGAAAAATATAGTTTTCCTGCCCTTTTAATATTTCCTTCTCTGGGCTAACTTCCCTCACCTGGACCCCATTTCCAGCAAAGGAAGCGGGTCAGTCGTTAGGAGCCTCGTTTAAACATGCTTGGGATAAACCCATGTCCACCATCCGACCAAATAAAATAAGATTTTCTGTTTTCTATGTCACTATTCCCACCTTTGTCTCCACACTTTGTTCTTTTCTGTCAGTGTTCCCACGGCAACTGGGTCCTCTGTTTACAAACAAGCAGTTACTGTATAAATTATTGTGTTGCCAGGTGATGTGACCAAATTATTCCTCTGGGCTAATAACCTTGAGTTTATGAGCCAATGCGTAAAGATTGACAGTTTAGCCATTGAAAATTAAAAAAATGAGATAGTATCGTTGACGCGTTTTTGAATTCCCTTCGCTTATAGTAACAATGAATGCAGACTCAGTTCAGGAACTTAATCTATTCCACCAACCCGATGCCATAAGTTCATCTGAAGATAAAGCCTTGCACGAGTAATTTATTTAGAGGATTAAAATATGCATATGATTAGCAGCATTTTTAGAAAAACTATTGACATCCTTCTTAAACAATGGCTGTTGCTAATTTTGTTACAATGCTGCCCTCTGCTGGTCAGCCCAAAGCATTTTAGAACGTATTTTTCTATTCTGTTCTAGCTTGGTTAAAAGTATTATTAGATGCAAGTGTGTAAGTGTGGATTTATGCATAACAGCACCTGACTGGTAGAACAAAGCATGTTCAGAACAATCAGCAAACAAGCAATGGGGATGCAGAGAATTAAACCTTTTTTAATGAAGAGTTTAATGTTTAATGAAGAGAAGGACGAGGGGGGACATGATAGCAGTTTTCCAATATCTCAGGGGCTGCCCCAAAGAAGAGGGAGTCAAGCTATTCTCCAAAGCACCTGAAGGCAGGACAAGAAGCAACGGGTGGAAACTAATCAAGGAGAGAAGCAACCTGGAACTAAGGAGAAGCTTCCTGACAGTTAGAACAATTAACCAGTGGAACAACCTGCCTCCAGAAGTGGTGAATGCTCCAACACTGGAAGTTTTTAAGAAGAGACTGGACAGCCATTTCTCCGAAATGGTATAGGGTTCCCTGCCTGAGCAGGGGTTGGACTAGATGACCTCCAAGATTCATTCCAACTGTTTATATTATTATTATTATTATTATTATTATTATTATTATTATTATTATTATTATTATTATTATTATTATTATTATGGATCATCGCACAGTCAGCCAGATGTTCAGACTGGATTTGGCATTTTGTCTACCTATCGAGTCCTTACCCAGGACCTGGGATAGGTAGATGTGGATGTTTGATGGCATTACAGATATCGTCGCAGGATGGAAGCAGTTCCTAGTAAGGCCGCCTTTTGCAATTGACTAATAGCGAATTTGTCAATGCCAATGGTGTTCAAGTGGTGCTCCAGTTGCTTTGGGATTGCACCCAAGGAGCCTATCACTATTGGTACTACCTTTGCTTGCTTTTGCCACAGTCTTTCTATTTCTATTTGTAGGTCTTTGTATTTTGTTATCTTCTCCAGTTCTTTCTCTTCTATTCTGCTATCTCCAGGCACTGCCACATCCACTATCCAGACTTTTTTGTCTTTCTTATCGACAATTGTTAAGTCTGGGGTGTTATGTTGCAGTTGCTTGTCTGTTTGAATTCTGAAGTCCCAGAGCATTTTAATTTTATCATTTTCTATGACTTTCTCTATTTTATGATCCCACCAGTTTTTGCTTACAGGCAAGTGATATTTTTTGCAGATCTTCCAATGCACCATTGTTGCTACTTTGTCATGCCGCTGCTTGTAGTCAGTCTGTGCAATCTTCTTGCAACAGCTCACCAAGTGGTCCACTGTTTCTTCAGCTTCTTTGCGTAGGCGGCACTTACTGTCTGTTGCTGTCTTCTCAATTTTGACTTTGTATGCATTTTTCCTTAAGGACTATTATTATTATTATTATTATTATGAAGACTATCAGATGAAGTGAAGATGTAAGACACATATTATTAACTAACATATTATGAAAATACAGAAACTAATTATTACTGATTGTTTTTCTAAACACATGAATCCAGACAACATGCTGTTTGCTAAATGTTAGACAATGTTATTGTGTGTGTGTGTGTGTGTGTGTGTGTGTGTGTGTGTGTGTAAAGGCAACATAAAATAAACATATTTATTCGCATTTCGTATTTCTGGCCAATCCATCTCAAGAGGGAAGTGTTGTTTCCCTCCCTCCTTCTCCACCCCCCCACTTCCCAGCTAGCAAAGAGGTTGGGCTTTCCTCGTGGCCTCCCCGCCCTCTCTTCCCTCCTCCTCCCCCCCCTTGCCCAAAGGCTTCCCGGGGCCAAGCCAAGGCTGCAGCCGCGAAGCTCCCGGACGGCTCGCCCTCTCGGGCAGCCCGAAGCGCTCCGCGGCGGACAGAGGCGAGCAGGCGGGGCGGCTCGGCCACCGGGCGGGGCTTCGCTTCGGCCAGCAGGGCGGAGAAGGCGGCGGCTTTTTCCTGCGTCCCCCCCCCCCTTCCTCCCCGAGCCCGGCGAGGAAGGGGAGCAGATGGGACCCGGGCGGAGCCGGGCGGGAGAAGCCTGAAAAGCGAACCGGGCCAACTTGGTGCAAAGTTCCCCAGGTCCAGCCGAGGCTGCTCAGCTGGTAAGGCGGCGGCGGCGGGGGGGTTCTGTCTTCCCTCTTGGGGTCCCCACCTTATTTTGGGGGGGGGGGGCGGTGAGGGTTTCCTTCCCCGGTTGGGTGGGGGAATCCTTCCTTCCCTTCCTTCCCTCCCTCCTTTCTTCTTTCCTTCCTTCCTTCTTTTCCTCCCTCTCTTTCCTTCTTATCTCCCTCCTTCCTTCCTTCCCTTCCTTCCTTCCCTCTCTCCTTTCTTCTTTCCTTCCTTCCTTCTTTTCCTCCCTCTTTCCTTCTTCCCTCCTTCCTTCCTTCCTTCCTTCCTTCCTTCCTTCCCTCCCTCCCTCCTTCCTTCCTTCCCTTCCTTCCTTCCCTCTCTTTCTTCTTTCCTTCCTTCCTTCTTTTCCTCCCTCTCTTTCCTTCTTCCTTCCTTCCTTCCTTCCTTCCTTCCTTCCTTCCTTCCTTCCTTCCTTCCTTCCTTCCTTCCTTCCTTCCTTCCTTCCTTCCTTCCTCCTTCCTTCCTTCCCTTGGCTCAAAGACCAGCCTTGCCTCTTCTGGGGTGGGAGGGGGGGGCGAAAGAAAAGAGGTTTCCTTTGTTCCTCCGAATCGCGCCATTCTGGGTGGGTGGGGGGGCTTGTCCTCCCCCTTTCCGGGCGAGACTACAACGCCCATGGGGCCCGGCCCGCGCCCGAAAGGGAAGCCTGAAGGGCGGCGGGTCGGAAGACCCCCCCCCCACCCTTCCCCTTTTGGAAGTTGAGGGCGTTTTTTGGGGCGTGGGAACCGCGCTGCTGCTGCTGGCGGCTCTCGGTTTCGGGCTGGTTTCGAACCGCGGTTCGAGGTCCGTTGCGGGATCCGAGTGGGTTTCTTTGTTTTTTGTTTGTTTGTTTGTTTTTGGATCTCTTTTCGCCTCTCTCTCTCTCCCCCCGGAGCTCCTTTGCCTCCCCCCCTCCCTCTCTCTACCTGGCTTGCTGGAACTCCAACCTGTAACTTCCTCTTCCTGGATGCTTGTGGGTTGAACCTGCGGGTCGCCTAGTTGAACGTGGGAAAACGCAATCCTGATCTTCCTTACCTATTTCCCCACTTCCTGAGTTTCCCCAAAACCTCGACCTGCCTGGTCCTGTCTCCCTTTTATAAACTCTTGAATTATCTACTGGGATTCAGAGGCAACTTTCAGATAAAGAATAGAATAGAAGCTGGAAGGGACCTTGGAGGTCTTCTAGTCCAGCCCCCTGCTCAAGCAGGAGAATCTATACCCTTTCAGACAAGTGACTGTCTAGCCCAGTGGTTCTCAACCTTTTTAATGCCGCGACTCCCCCCCAACCGGTTGTAAGTTGAGGACTACTCAACCGGTCGTAAATCGAGGACTACTCAACGAGTGCAGCACCGTTTGCAGAATGGGACTTTTGGCGGGTTCAGCAGGGCAGAGACAGCCTGGACCATTCCTATTGGCTTTTGAAAGCCAATAGAATTAGACTCTATTCAAGAGAGTCTATTCTGTTGGCTTTCAAAAGCCAATAGAATAAAAGGGAGTAGCACAGCTAAGGAAAAGGGGGGGAAAATGGCGGACTGGGTTGTTTGGCGACCTCCGTGAAATGGTCGTTCGACCCCAAATGGGGTCCCGACCGACAGGTTGAGAACCACTGGTCTAGCCTCTTCTTAAAAACCTCCAGTGATTTCTGGTGGCAAGCTATTCCACTAGTTAATTGTTCTCATTGTTAGGAACTTTCTCCTTAATTCCAGGTTACTTCTCTCTCTACTGGGATTCAGAAGCAACTTTCAGATAAAGAATAGAATAGAGCTGGAAGAGACCTTGGAGGTCTTCTAGTCCATCCCCATGCTCAAGCAGGATAATCTTGTTAAGTGATTATACAGGATATTGCAACTAAAGAATCTCTTGAGCTGACCTCAACTCCGGGAAATGTCATGGACTGTCAGTTTTTTGAGAATGGCATTGAATTGATTAGTTGTGACCTTTTTTTTTAAGGATTTTTTTTTGGTCAATTTTCCAGATTAACCACAGATCTGAGATCTCTACGTGGTCTCCTATCCATGCCAAAACTAGGGCTGGGACTTTGCTTAATTTCCAGTCCAGATAACTCTGGGCAGCTGTCACCGTGAGCTTTTGAAAATTTGTGATAATACATCCAGTTGTTACCTAAGTTGTTTTTGTCGCAGTTTTATGGCGTGAAGATAACGTTGGGAATCCATTGCAGAGAAGACTGGAAAACAGGATGGGGAATTTATTTTCTGCTGAGCCCCAGATGGCAATTGTGCTAAATCTGTCCTTGTCTGCATTCTCTGATTTTTCTCTTTGTTGGTTGATGAGTCCAGTTTAAATTGTAACTACTCAAAAAAAAAGGGGGGGATACAACTCTTTCTAATGTTGACTCCTTCAGTCTCCACCAAACAATGAACAGGTTGGAAGGCATTCTCATGTTTTTTTTTATTAAAAAGTTTTTATTTTCCATTTATTCATACAAAATACAATTAAATTCCTAACCATTGGTACCGCCTGCCCATTCCCCCCAGGCTGCGTCCACCCTCTCTAAACCTTCCCTACTTCCCTCCTCTTTCTCTCCTCCCCTCCTACTCTCTTCCCCTCCCCATCTCCTCTAACCATCCTACTTCCTCCCTACTCCTTCCTCCCCTTTTCCTCCCCTCTCATCCCTGAACGCAGCATAGGGGAAATGCCCAAGCATTTGCCATGACTGTATTATCATCACCCACCCACTCAACCCTCCCCCCCTCGCTTCCCAGAGCAGAGTACAGGGTTATTAATAAGAAAGTTAACGATAATAAAAAAAAGAAAAGAAGAAAGAAAAAAAACACATCATACTTAACCTTTAACTCCCCTTAAATTAAGTCATATAAACAAATCTCTACAACAGTTACTATAAAATTTACTCCTAAAATAAGAAGGCATTCTCATGTTTACAACTGGAATCCAACCTATAGAAAAATAATTATTGCTTGGTGAGTTAATTTTGTGCAGTGGTACAGGGACTCTGGAATTTGAACGCCGGCTTGAAAGATGAAGTTTAAATTCAGAGGTACGAAAGTTTCTCTCCATCCACCTTTTTACAAGCAGAGTGCATATATTGTTGCAGAATTCAGCTTTTTTTTTTTGTTGTTGTTGTTCCTGAAATAAATATAGGTTTCATTTTTGTGGTGGGCTCGGCACCCAGTGGCATCGTAAAGCATTGATTCATATATTTTTTTTTTTGAGTTTTCCCCAAAACCTTCTCTTTCTCAGCAGGTAATTTTCTCAGTCAGTCTTAAAATAAACGTAAGGGGAGGATGTACAGAATTCATGCCTCAAATCTGCCAGAAGGCAACCTGCTTCCTTGATTCTAGTTTCACTTTCTTTTCATTTGTTTGGCCAACCAGGTTGGCCTCTAAAATCCTTGTTCAACTCCATGCAGTTTTCTCAGCAGAGTTATCTAAGAATGTTACAATTCATTTGGCGAATTTCTTGATGATTCCCTCATCCAGGTGCTAACAGCTTCTTGGATCAATCAAGCTTGGTTGATTGATTTTGATTATGTGCCATCAGGTCATTGTTGTGTTGAAGGAAAAGTCTACATCATGGTTCAGTCCAAGCCGGGAATAAACAACATGGCGACTGCTTTAGAAAGAAGGTTGCACTTTATTGGAGAGGAGAGCCAGACAGAAAGATGGCTCTGGAAGAAAAAAAGGAGAGAGAGCACATGTAGGGAGTGGGTTTTTATACCCTCTGGGGCCTTTTGTTTGGAGTTGTTCCTGTGGCATGAAGTTTGACCTGAGTCTGAGTGGGCCCCTTTGGCATCTGTGGGTCAATCCTATTATGTCCTGTCTTAGAGTTTGGGTGGGGTATGTAGATTTTAGGTATCTTTGTCTTCCTAATCTTCTAGCTTCAACCTTCCTGAATGGATTATCACATCTGCATTTCTACAGAGCTGGTTTCTGCTTGGGGGAGGGAGACTTGGGGCTATTAAGAAAAACTGGGCATGCTTTTCCTGCCTCTTTAAGATCCTTTGAGGAAATATATTTATCTGCCCTTTTAATATTTCCTTCTGGGGGGGGGGGCTGACTTCCCACAGTTGATTCTTACCAAGACAGGTTTTCCCCATGAAGATCTATTCCTAACCTGGTCTTTTACTTCTTCCAATGGTGCACTCATCACCACCATAGCTGCTGGTTGTCTTCTTCTTCTTCTTCTTCTTCTTCTTCTTCTTCTTCTTCTTCTTCTTCTTCTTCTTCTTCTTCTTCTTCTTCTTCTTCTTCTTCTTCTTCTTCTTCTTCTTCTTCTTCTTCTTCTTCTTCTTCTTCTTCTTCTTCTTCTTATTCTTCTTCTTCTTCTTCTTCTTCTTCTTATTCTTCTTCTTCTTCTTCTTCTTCTTCTTCTTCTTCTTCTTCTTCTTCTTCTTCTTCTTCTTCTTCTTCTTCTTCTTCTTCTCCTCCTCCTCCTCCTCCTCCTCCTCCTCCTCCTCCTCCTCCTCCTCCTCCTCCTCCTCCTCCTCCTCCTCCTTCTCTTTCCTTCCACCTTTTCCAAGCGTCAGAACTTTCTTCAGAAAACTGGTCTTCTTTGCTTAATGTGTCCAAAATAGGATAATTAGTGTCTGGTCATTAATGCCTTGAGTGAAAGCTCTGGGTTGATTACTTTGATGATCCATTTGCTTGTTTCCTTGGCTATCCAAGGTATTCTCAGGAGCCTTCTTCAACACCAGAGTTCAAAAGTGTCAATACCTCCTACATCTTTCAAGTCCAACTTACATTTCCCTTGAGTATTACAGGGAATACCATCCCAAAGATGGTTTTTTTCAGGAGGCAACTGGACTTCCTTGTTTTTCTTTGAAGACTTCTCGCTTCTCATCCAAGAAGCTTCTTCAGCTCTGACTGGACGGTGGGGAAATGGAAGGATTTATACTCCTTGCAAACAGCTGGTCATTTGCCTTCTTTTAGAGAGTCGTTGAGGCCACCTAGAAGTTTACCTGTGTCCTCAGGGTCACCTGAGTGGTGCAAATGGGTGTGGAGCCTTCTTGGAACTGCTG